ATCAACATAAAAAGCACATTCAAACCAAATTTACATAGGAAAAATCCGTTTTATCTGACAAATTTCATCATCATCTTTAATCTACACACACTCATTGCATCATAAAGTCATACTCTGGTTATGAGTCTTGAGGTTAGCAAAAGGTCTTGAAATCTGAAGGTTTCACTCCCATCCCATCAAAGTATTCCACACTTTTTCCTCTATCTTGCTTCTCGGGACCGGTAAGCTGTCTTCTTCGTTGATTAACACTTTGTATACCTCCCATTCTCTGTCTCCGGTTACGTGCCTTCCAATTTCAGCCTATTATAGACATTGATTCATGGAAATTAGATGATCAAGAAATGGTCTGTTTTTGGTAATGAGCTCAAATGGTGTGATTGTATGTATGAGTTTTATATATATACCGAGAAGATGCAGGTATTGATTTTCTTGAGGGCAAGTGCGATGTCATGGAAGACTTGTGGCCGTCCTTTTCCTGATAATTCAACAGGGTTTGTGACCAGAAGTTCAGTATCTGGACCTCGATTCATCATTACCACTCTTAGAGGTTGTTGTAGCTCTGCTCTTAGACGAGAAATCAATGCAGTTTGCTTGCTTGAGTCAAGGATCTTCCGACCATCAGATTGCACGATGAACAAGTCGATCTCACAGTTCCTTCCTCGTTTGATTGTAAAACGCCCATATGAGATCTGGTCATAAAAACACGATTCGAGAAAATGAATCCCATGTGAATATCAGTCGCAAATGGAGATAAACAATCTGAGCATATGAATAAAGAGTCAGAAAAACCATCAAAGACCTGGATGTTGAAATCCTTGAAGGTTCTCATAATATCGTAGAGAAGGCCTTTGTGATCCTGGCAACTAATCTGAATGAGTGTGTGAGCTGGGCTTAGCGAGTTATCAACAGCAATAGACACACAGTTCGAAGTGTGTAACCCACTAGGGTGCCCTCCCGACACATCTGCGGATAAAAATGTTTCTGCAAACGATGCACAAGCCTGTGAACGAACTGTGATTTCTGGGCCAACAAGTTCAATGTCATAACTCATCATTGAATCTCCTATGGCATCTCTCAGGTACTCATACACTTCATCCCGCCTCTTCACCGTCCCTAAAAGCTCTCTGTCAAGAACAAGAAAATAGAACACACCTTACATAAAACATTCTACGAATACCCGGAAAAGCTCCCTTTATAAATATGAGCTTCTACGGTTATACCTAGTGTCCGTGACAAAGAACAAGTCCATCACTTTTCCATCAGGAGTAGTCGATATCTTCACTTTCTCAATGTTGATCTCAAGTTTGTAAAGAACTTCTGTGACATCTGCCAATATAGAAACAGTCTATAAATCCTCAGACCATAACAACTTCCTAAAATTCAGAGAAGCCAATAGAAGAAACTAACCATATAGAAGCCCTGTACGGTCGGAACAAGCTAGCTTCAAGAGGAAAAGATCAGGAAGCTTCGGAGACTGTGAGTCAGAGTCAGGGAGGTAACATCTTGAGATACCAAAAGCCCAAGAAAAGGAAGGGCTTGCCTCTACAAGTCTCATCTTCAACAGATTCCATCTCGTGTTTGGTTTCCCAATCACCCAAAACACCAAGTAACACCATTTCCCGTCAGTCGATACATCTTCACAGCGGAATTTCATCGAACATGTTCAGGTCAGAAATCAAAAGTCAATAAAAAAGGTGAATTTTCAATTACAGTCGCCATTGAAGCGACACTCATTAAGCCAGAACAGATTGAAACCGAAATACCCAAAATTTTGTTCCAAAGATACTCAAAACAAATCAAGCAAAGGTTCGAATTTTACCTCCTCTGACAATGTTGAGGCCGAAGAAGAGTAGGATACGACAGAGATCACAACCCAGACCAGTTTTGTCAGGACAATTGATGGTAATCACACTCGGGTCACCTTCTTTCTCCGACTGTCTGATTATCACAACGTCATCCGACAAAATACCCA